AAGATTTTTTCCACACCATAAAAACCCTAGTCAACACTTTTCCTTGTGCTCATAGAGAGTTAATGAACTTATTAATATTTTTGTAGCACAATTCAAACACGATAACCCCTCATTTAACGACCTCTGAGCAGCGAAAGCTTTAAACTGCATTGCACATACCTGAAAATTCTATGTGACCTTTGGGGAAATAGATGTGCTTGCTTCCTCTGTGTTTAGAAACCCCCATAAACAGTGTGTGGAGGCTGCCACCATTACCATCTGGTTTCCCCTCGTGGTTTCCTCCAACTACTTACAGGAGCGCTCATAGTCGCATTGACAAGCTTTGGTGATGCGGTGGGGATTAGGCTCAGTGCCTTTATGTGCCACCTCTCTGGTGGAGAGTTCTCAGAATCCAGGCAGCTCTTAGATCTGGAAAATTGTAACAGCTTAGCTGGAAGGAAGCAAACATGGGAAAGAGCAGTGCATTCCTTCTCCGCCAGCCTGTTTATCCTTGTGTGCTGTGAGAGGTCACAGGGACAGGGTGCCCTTGATGACTTAGGGCTGCATGGACAGCATCATGTCAGCATGCTTCTCATCTGTAGCGCACTGTCTTAACTGAGCGTCAGAGAAGCCATGGTGGAATTAATATTCAAGCAAAGCTTTGGGTTAGTAACCGATCAGTAGCCACATGGCTCCCTTGCTGTCCTGCTGAGTGGTGATCACTCTTTTATACAATAGCCAGATGTCCAGCTCTGAAAGAATAAACTCAGCTTGGTTTTCGAGAGGGAGCAAATGATGGGTCAGATCTGTTCAAATGCAGGAGAACCGAAGAGCATGAAGCAGAGACCACCAATGCAGGGACCACCATACCATAGAGTACTTCTCAGCAATAAAAAAGAATTACCTCTTGATATATGCAACAACCTCGATGAATCTCCAGAGAATTAAGCTGAGTGAAAAAAAACGCCAATAGAAAAGTTACATGGTATATAATTCCATTTACATAATAGTCTGGAAATGACAGCATTATAGGAGTAGAGGACAGATTAGTGGTTAGCAGGAGTTAAGATGGAGCAGAGAGAAGAGGAATAGAAGAGGGGGTGATTATAATAAAAAAAGACATGGGGGAGCCTCATGGAGGTGGAAGTAATCAGTATTTTGACTGTGGTGGTGGATATATGAAGCTACATGGGGGATAAAATTTTGTAGAACTTACACACAGATACACACACACATACACACACACACACACACACACACACACACACAGGGAGAGATTGGAATAAGACAAGTGAACTGTAACTGTAACAATGTCACTACCTGGTTGCACTACAATCTTACAAAATGTCACTATTGGGGGAAACTGGGCATAATATAGAAGGGGTCTATCTCTCTGTATTATTTCTTATAATGGCATGTCAATCTCCACTAACCTAAAGTAAATTAATAATATTACCCCTTATTTCAGTAAGTACCTATTAAGTATTTGACAATTAATTTCTGAAATATTAAATTTGTTCTATAGCTTTATTTCAATTGGATGAAAATACAGATATCAGAATTTGGTACTAATGAACTCAGATAGTCTGCTGTTATGAAGAACTAAAATGTGGTTAAAGCTTCCCAACCAGAGACGCAGACACTTATTCACCAGAAGATACTGATCTGAAACAGTTACTTCTCTCTCAGGGCTTAAGGAGACAACCAAAGAGATCCAGCAAGATCTCTGGGATAAAACCGCCTGCAAACGTTTACTGTGTGTCTTCTCTCTCTCTCTCTCTTTCTCTCTCTCTCTCTCCCCCTCTCCAAGGAGCTGGAGCCCCATCACCCACCTACACAGACACTGCCTTAGACTCATTTTAGAAGGCAGATATTTGAAGTGCACATTTTATCAGCTATTGACTAAAATAAATGGTCTGGAAATGTACATCACTGTGATCACTCTTATTCATTAAGATGGAATATCTGAGACTAAAATAAAAGCATATTCATTTAAAGCGAGTGACCATTAGGCATCCATCCGCAGTGCAGCCAGGAGCCATTCATTCAGCCACACATCCGAGGGCTCGTGGACCCACAAATCATGCCATGGACACATGGCTCCTTGCACTTACGCTGGGAGCACCGGAGGCCAGGGGTCTCTGACTTCCACGCGGCACATATGTGGCTGTTATTGAGAGCTCTCCGAGGTATAGATTTACATTACCATCTGCCATCGAGTTGCTGTTTACATCTGCCTGAAAGGTGGGGGGAGGGTTGGGCACAATCAATCAAAGTGCGCATAGAAGAAGACCCTGAAAAAAAACACCCGACAACAGCCTGAACTTGGGAGATGTGCACATGTCTATTCAAAGGGGAAATAAGGAATTCAGACTCTTCTCTCTTTGAAAAACTCCCTTTGAACTTGGGAAATTAAGTGACAAAAGAGCATTTTAAAATTCCTCACACAGTTCAGCTTCTCTGAGGAGCCTCAGAAGGAATCTCAACGTTATATGCCTTAAAAATAATTTAATGGTAAGTGGGGCTGATAAAAATCTAAAACTTTCACTCTATGAAAGGCTCCGTTAAGAGTTTGAAAAGTCAAGCTATAAACTGGGAGAAAACATTTGCAAACATATATTTCTGATAAAGGACTCGTATCTAAGATGTCTAAAGAAATTTGAAAACTCAACAGTGAAAAAAAGCAATCCAATAAGAAAACGGGCAAAAGACATGAAGAGACAGACCTTTCACCGAAGGAACATACACACGGCACACAAGCATACGAAAACAAGTTCAACATCATCAGGCAACAGGGGAAGGCAAATGAACCCCCCCGCAGCGAGACACCACCTCACACCGATGAGAATGACTTACAAAAACTGTAACAACACGGACTGCTGGCAAACAGGCGGAGAAGCTGGGTCCTTCATAAAAAGCTGGTGGAAACAGGAAACGAGGAGCCACCCTGGGCAACTGTTTGGCAGTTTCTTACACAGTTAAACATGCGAGTGCCCTAAGAGCCAGCAATTGCACTCTGGGGCAATTATCCAGGGAAATGAATGCTCATGTTTACACAAGAGCCTGTACATGAATTTTCATAGCAGCTTTATTTGTAGTCACCAAACACTAGGGACGATCAGGTGTCCTAGAGCAAGCAGGTGGTTGAACTTTGGTGCAGACCATGGAATACTACTCAGCGACAAAAAGAATCAAGTTGTTAGCACATGAGATAAATTGGGTGAATCCCCAAGAATAATGCTGAGTAGGGGGGGAAAAAACAAATCCAAAAGGATACCTCTGTATGCTTCCTTTTATATAACATTTTGAAAGGACAAACTTATAGAAATGGGAAACAGATTAGTGGCTGCCAGGGGTTAAGGAGTGGGAAGGGCAGGGAAAGGGAGGTCAGGGAGGGAGAGGGTGGGGGTGGCTCTACAAGGCCGACATGAGGGATGTTGTGGTGATGTAGCTGTTTTGTATCTGACTGTATCAATATCAATATGCTGGTTGAGATAGTGTACTATAGTTTTGCAAGATGGTACCGTTGCTTAAAGGGCACGGGAGAGCTCTTTATCATTTCTTACAACTGCATGTGAATCGACAGTTATCTCGGAAAAGGTTTAATTTAAAAAGAATTGAAGAGTTTAGGAAGAAGGTATATATTTCCCACTCGTGTTTGGAAATGAAGATACTATTAAGCCACTGGCCAGCCAAGCTGTCGATGAGAAGAGAGGAGCAGGCAGTTGGGCACAGAGCTGATTCCGGGGACTGGCCCTCAGCACCCAGGGTCTCCGTCCTGTCCTAGGCAGGAGCATTACCTTGTGGCGGCCATTGTCTCTCTTTAGAGGTCCACTAAGGACCAAGACAAACTGGAGCCAACAGGGAAGCCCCTGTCTATCGATGGGTTACCATGGCCTCTGCAGAAATTCTAACCCCACGCGTCAACCTCGGGTGCGTGTATTAGGGTCCAGCCCTGCTATTTGGGAGGCTGGCAAATGGAAAGGAGGCATTGATCATTCAGTACCAGGGACTAGAGGCCACTGAAGCCCCTGAGAGGTGTCTCGGGTCCTGCCCTGTGTGCATCCTCGGGAAGGAAAGGAAGGTTGGGGGGCATCATTGGTGGGTGGCCTCTTGGCTGCCCTCAGGTGTCCCAAGCCCTTCCAGTCTGGGCTGATGCCTGCTGACCTCTCAGACTCATCACCCTGCTCTCGAGGCCCAGAGCAGTGACTAGGAGCTGCTGAGCCTCCAATCAGCACAGGACATTCCCTCCAGTGAGTTTACCCCAAACACGACCCTTCCTCTCCATCAGAGGGCAAGGTGCACCCCCACCCTTGCTTAAATGCCCTTTGGCCTTTCCTGGAGGGCATTCCTCGGATTGGAGCATTTGGAATCATTCCTTTGGAGGAGCACATTGTTCCTGGGCTCCACGCCCGACCCTTAAGGTGAGGGCTGCTTTCTTTGCTGGCGATTTCTCTCTGAAATGCCCTCTTTGGTGAGCAGGACTGGGAAGTGGTTCTGGGCATGCATTCCAGCATGCGCTTGCCCAGGTCCAACGCTAGCCCTCCCATTTCCTAGTGGGGAGACCTTGGGCAGAGGGCTGATGAGCTCCGTGCCCCAGCTTCCTCATCAGAGGAATGGGGACGATGGCAGCTGCTAATCTCACAGGCTGTGTGAGGATTAAATGAGCCCACGAGGGTAAAGAATGCCCAGCACCTGGGAAGCCTTAGGTAAATGTCAGCGGTTGCTTCTGTCTTTCTTCTTGGAGATACCCCTCTCCCAGGCCGCAGTGAGTGAGTGAAAGTGCTCTGAGTTTAAACTCAGGCCCATGTGAGGGTGAGAATGAGCTGGTGTGCCTTCAGGACTAGCCACTCAACCTCTCAGTGCCTCAATTTCCATATTTGCAAAGAAAACCTGCGGCCTAGGGCTGTCCCAGGGATGAAATGACCCGGCTGGTCGGCCTGGACTTGTCCAGCCTCGCACACGAGGTACTCCCAGCACAGCTGTGGGTGTTGTGTTGTTGTCATGGGCAGTTATTTCCGTTGGGAACCGTGGCTGTGAGATGAGTCCTCTTTCCCGCTCCATCCCCCTTGCCCTGCGCCTGAGAAAGGGAGCATCCCCATGGCAACAGCAGCAGCTGGTCCCTTGATAAGAGGAGCTGGAGCCGGCTGCAGGAGGAGCCACAGCCAGAGGCTGCCCAGCTTCGGGAGGAAGCGCGCCCTCCCCATCTCTGCACTTCACATCCCTGCGCCTGCCCTGACAGGTAAGTGCTCTGGGTTTGCACTCTGAGAACTTTATGGGGAGAAAAACAAGTTTCCATAAGTTACGGTTTCTTTGTTGTTGCTGGGGCAACGAAGGCTAGAAAGTCGCTGGCCGGGTTGGGGGGTGGGGGATGCTTCCTGGAGCAAGGCTAAGCTGGGACTAAGTGGGGATCCGGAAAGTCACCACTTTCCCGTCATTTTCAAGGGCGGTGGAGTCCTGAGATCCGTGAGAACCGGGGTCCTTGCAATTTAAACTGCGAAGTTTCCAGATGACCACTGGTGTGGCTGCAGGTTCACACAGCAGCGTGGGGAGGCTTCCCGTTCAAGGCTGGGGAGAGTGATCTTATCAAAAATCCTCACCGTGCCCTACTTCACGGAGGAGTCACCCCTCCAGGAACACTGCACATTTAGGTCTTCTAAATGAGCAAACTTGACTTTAATACGTGGTACTCTTCGACCTGAATTCAATCCTCAGGTTACAAAGAGATATGACAAAGGATATGAATTTTACATGACCTGAGGGGCCTTTCACCCAGCTCCACGTTGGGCTGTGGACATTACCTTGTCACTTTTTATTCCTTCGAGTAAATCCAGGCCTGATGACCTGGTAAATTCTTAAGAATGCCCTTCAACTAAGCGGAGTGTCCGCTCGCTCCTTCCTGAGCATCAGTATCACCATGTTCCTAAGGCCTTGCAGTTGGTGGTACCTTGCATTGTTCTGATCGCGTCATTAGCCTCACCCGGGCCAGAGACGGGAAGAGATGATTCCCCTTGTTCCATTTAGACGTACCTGTTGTAACCACAAGGGGAGATTGACAGAGCAAAGAAGGCAACTCACATTTCTTAAAGTGCTAGTGTGCGTGCTGGGGTCTGGGCTGGGAGCTTTACACACATTATGCTGCTAATACTCTCAACCCTGGAGAAGGGCCACTATCTTGCCCATTTTACAGATGTAGAACTTTCCCAAGTTCACCCAGCTAGAGAATTGCACAGGTAACCCAACACTTGTTTCCACTTCATATCACCTTCCAACACCAAATGCTTGCCATCAGTGAGGACTTTCCTGCCCGTGAATTAAATGATGTATGCTAACACCCAACTGAGAAATCTGCTCAGTGCTAAGAGAAAAGACGAAATGCCCAGACTAGCTTCTGACCTCCAACTGACTGGCCAGTATTTTTTAGCTGCAGAAATAGCACCTCTGTCTTCCTGAAGGAGTAACTCGCTCTGAGCTGGTGGAGGCAGGCTCCCCCACATGTGTCCTCAGCTTCGGCAGGCTGCTCTGGGTGCCTGTCCTTCTGCAACTTTGTGGGTGGGGTCCCTCCCTGGCACCCAGGACCCTGGATCTCTCATTCCTGTTCTCAAAAGAGAAAGGGACCTATGTAATTAATAACCATTCTCTATGCAACATCAGTTAATGTCTCGTCTCTCAGTGATATTTGCTTCACAAGTGTCTCTCTGTGGGGAGAGAAGGGTGTGTGTTTTTTGTTTTTGTTTTGTTTGTTTGTTTTGTTTTATCAAGTGTAAGAATTAGACGGGAAGAGATGATTCCCCTTGTTCCATTTAGACGTACCTGTTGTAACCACAAGGGGAGATTGACAGAGCAAAGAAGGCAACTCACATTTCTTAAAGTGCTAGTGTGCGTGCTGGGGTCTGGGCTGGGAGCTTTACACACATTATGCTGCTAATACTCTCAACCCTGGAGAAGGGCCACTATCTTGCCCATTTTACAGATGTAGAAACCAAGTTTCCAGGAGTACGTAGAACTTTCCCAAGTTCACCCAGCTAGAGAACTGCACAAGTAACCCAACGTTTGTTTCCACTTCATATCACCTTCCAACACCAAATGCTTGCCATCAACACCAAATGCTTGCCATCAGTGAGGACTTTCCTGCCCGTGAATTAAATGATGTATGCTAACACCCAACTGAGAAATCTGCTCAGTGCTAAGAGAAAAGACGAAATGCCCAGACTAGCTTCTGACCTCCAACTGACTGGCCAGTATTTTTTAGCTGCAGAAATAGCACCTCTGTCTTCCTGAAGGAGTAACTCGCTCTGAGCTGGTGGAGGCAGGCTCCCCCACATGTGTCCTCAGCTTCGGCAGGCTGCTCTGGGTGCCTGTCCTTCTGCAACTTTGTGGGTGGGGTCCCTCCCTGACACCCAGGGCCCTGGATCTCTCATTCCTGTTCTCAAAAGAGAAAGTGACCTATGTAATTAATAACCATTCTCTATGCAACATCAGTTAATGTCTCGTCTCTCAGTGATATTTGCTTCACAAGTGTCTCTCTGTGGGGAGAGAAGGGTGTGTGTTTTTTGTTTTTGTTTTGTTTGTTTGTTTTGTTTTATCAAGTGTAAGAATAAGCAAGAGGAAGTTGCAAGAGTTTAGCATCAGGATCCTGAAAACTGCCTCCACCTCCTGGCAATGATGTCACTTGGTCTCTTGTACAGGCCCCACCAGGCCACCCCCATTCTCTCAAACACCTTAGACAAAATAATACAGACCCAGAATTATTTTTTCTCTCGTTGAAAAATCTGAAACACTTTGAAAACCAAAAGCTTTTTGTTGTTGTTCAGTTCAACAAAAATGCAGTTGGTAGGAAAACCTGACCTGAAAGAATCTGAATGATTTCATGCTCCTCAGCTGTATCATTTCGTGCAAATATTCATATTTTTGCTGCAGAAGTAATGCATGTGATTGCCGTGCTTGTTGAGACCCTCCGGGGTGTTACATAATACCGATTTCCTGATGTCCACAGCACATGGGCCCTGGCTTTTCAGATGAGGGTGGGCAGGCTGATTTGACAAGCACAGTGGCGGTCCAAGTCATCAGGTGTTACATAATACCGATTTCCTGATGTCCACAGCACCTGGGCCCTGGCTTTTCAGATGAGGGTGGGCGGGCTGATATTGACAAGCACAGTGGCGGTCCAAGTCATTGCTGTGTGAATGTTAAAATTCAGAGACCACACTGAACCAATAAGTCACAAGAAAATGTTAAAGGGCCACAAACTTTTGTACTAGAGAACAGCTATGAAACTCCCCCAACCTTTAGGCCCTCGCCCTCTGGGTGTGAACCTGAAGACCCAGGGGAGCAGGTATTCAGGTCTGAAAGGAGCTGATGCTTCAGGAAGATCCCAAATTACAGCGAGCTGCTTGGGAAGGTGATGACACCTTCTCCAGGCAGCATGACAGCAATGTCCCCTCGCTGATGCTTGAGGTTGAGACAATAGAGAGGAATGCTCACAGACCAGGAACAGGAAGTTGAGACATTCCTTTTCTCAGTTTAAGAATTAGACTAGTTCCTGTCCTACAACATTGCTGTGTGAATGTTAAAATTCAGAGACCACACTGAACCAATAAGTCACAAGACAATGTTAAAGGGCCACAAACCTTTGTACTAGAGAACAGCTATGAAACTCCCCCAATCTTAAGGCCCTCGCTCTCTGGGTGTGAACCTGAAGACCCAGGGGAGCAGGTATTCAGGTCTGAAAGGAGCTGATGCTTCAGGAAGATCCCAAATTACAGCGAGCTGCTTGGGAAGGTGATGACACCTTCTCGCAGCATGACGACAGCAATGTCCCCTCGCTGATGCTTGAGGTTGAGACAATAGAGAGGAATGCTCACAGACCAGGAACAGGAAGTTGAGACATTCCTTTTCTCAGTTTAAGAATTAGACTAGTTCCTGTCCTACAACGGCTCAGTCCCTCAGAGCACCCTCCTCATGAGGATACACATGGAGAGTGGAGAGAGAGGGGTCATCTCATCCTAACATTCCACAGGCAGGTAAAATGATGGGTACTAATAAGGTGATGCTGGCTTCCAAGTATCTCACTCCTCTCCTTATTTGTTCTTGCCTTCCTGTGAAGGTGTTTTTTTGTTTTTGTTTTTGTGGTTTTTTTTTGCCAAGAAGACCATAATGACATCATCCATGATAAAAGTGTCTTCTACTCCCATGAGCAAACACATCCCCTCCCAACGTGGGGGTATTTTCCGTAATGGGAAAATCTCAGATCTATCAGGCCTCTAGCCAACAGGGGCTTAACAGTTCACCACCATCATTCTTTCAGTTCCACTGATTTAAAATAGTGCTGTTTCCCCCCAGACACCAGGTGCTATCCTGGAAGGAAGCAGGTGTCAGGTGTGTGACTAACCACTGGCTAGCCCTGCCTTGAACAGGGACTTCTGATATTTGTACAGTTCATCTCCCAAGGGCAGGCCTCTCTCTCTCCCAAGTTCAGTACAACGATAACCGTTTTGCTCAGATCGTGGGGGTATTTTCCGTAATGGGAAAATCTCAGATCTATCAGGCCTCTAGCCAACAGGGGCTTAACAGTTCACCACCATCATTCTTTCAGTTCCACTGATTTAAAATAGTGCTGTTTCCCCCCAGACACCAGGTGCTATCCTGGAAGGAAGCAGGTGTCAGGTGTGTGACTAATCACCGGCTACCCCCACCTTAACAGGAACTTCTGATATTTGTACAGTTCATCTCCCAAGGGCAGGCCTCTCTCTCTCTCAAGTTCAGTACAATGATAACCATTTTGCTCAGATGAAGGCTGGTGGCCTCATGGCTCAGCATCTACATGAAAATGGAAGATTCAGAAACACATCCCCACCCAGTGTGGGGGTATTTTCCGTAATGGGAAAATCTCAGATCTATCAGGCCCATAGCCAACAGAGGCTTAACAGTTCACCACCATCGTTCTTTCAGTTCCACTGATTTAAAGTAGTGCTCTTTCCCCCCAAGACACCAGGTGCTATCCTGGAAGGAAGCAGGTGTCAGGTGTGTGACTAACCACTGGCTAGCCCTGCCTTGAACAGGGACTTCTGATATTTGTACAGTTCATCTCCCAAGGGCAGGCCTCTCTCTCTCCCAAGTTCAGTACAACGATAACCGTTTTGCTCAGATGAAGGCTGGTGGCCTCATGGCTCAGCATCTACATGAAAATAAGTTCATAGAACTTTTCAAGTACACACCTGGTCTTCATTAGTCGGCTATTTAGTTGGGTATAGGCAAATGTTACTTACCAATGGCTGCCACTTACTCACGTGCTACAATATGCAAAGCATGAAATTGTCCTAGTTCCTCTTCAGAGTAGCTCTACAGGATAGACACTCTGATCTCTATTTTGCAGAAAAGAAAACTGCGGGTGAGAATGGGGATGGGGCACAAGGGGAAATATGTCCCTGGGTGCCAGTCGGCATACTACACAGGTACTAGGCTTTGCAAATCCTCTCATAGCAGCAATAGCTTGTTGGGAGGAAGGGCATAGATGATGCTATTGCTCTTTGGCTCCACTTACCCTCACTACATGATTAAGGTTTCCATATTCTATCAAAGTCATGTGGCTTTTTAGTTCAAGAGCTGAAATATAATCTAGATTTATTTGAAAGCTCGGGTTTAAACTAAATAACCATCTCCTAGGCACATAAGAGCAGTCTTATGATCTAGAACAGCTTACTTTGGGTTGCAGAGAAGGAGGGGTATTATTGTCAGATAGCACCTAGAGTAGAAGGTCGGAGTCCTTACCTCAAATGATTACTCTGACTCAAACTGTGTAACTAATGGGAGCTCATCTTTAACTTCTTCTGGAGAATGAGTATTTGGACCAGGTTCCCTCCATGGGGTGATTTTCAGCACAAAGTCTATGACAGGGCTAACATCTTTCTGCCCAAAGAAGAGGAAGATTGGTTAAGCAGATGCACATTTGAGATGGTTAAGCATATTTGAGGCTGTAACTTTACCTCTAGACCTCAACACTGAGCCCATTCATCCTGAAAGATGGTCCCATAGCTTTCCTCTGCACTCAAGCAGGTAAGGGCTGGCCACCCAACTTAACAACATGCTTCCTTATGGTCCCAGAGAGTAGGAAGTCTGTATACAAACACTAAAGACAATGGTATAAATTGATCTCTACTGAGGTCACTTGGTACAGTCAGTCTGCTCAGAGTGACTCTAAAAGCCAGGCTCGAGTAATCCCTTAATGGCTCCATCTGCTAAGCAATGATCTCAGCCTGTAGGGGGAGAGTCCCTCCAGCCTCACACAGAAAACTGGCTTATTCTTCATAAGACAATAGAGTTGAACTAATTCTGTGAGCTTGAAATGTTAACATAGCTTCCTCTGCATACCAAGGGTCTAGGAATATCAAGAGGACCAGTGGATCATTTTAATCATATTCCTCTCCAACTATTCTTACTATGTTAGGACTAATGAGTTATCTGAAAGAAATTCAAGAAACAGAATCTGGTAGACTCTAATGAGGATTTCCTATAAATCTCAACTAATGCATTTCTCATTCAGACCTGACACATGTCCATTCTGGATTTCCACTTCTCCTGGACAATGTCTACAACTAATAGCTTTGGAAAGTTCAATGGATCTGTGGTCTAGGAAAGACGGGGGTGGGGCGGGGAGGGGAATCCCTAGGGAGAAAATAATAAAGAGCTATTTCAAGACCTAGATTTTTTTCTCACCACCTCTCTACCACCATTATAGTATGGCTGGGAAGGAAGTCTCATCACTTTTTAGTTAGAGAATGTAATGGTCAAAACCCAGGAGATTTGTTCAATTAGGGCTCCAAAAATCCACTTTATTTTTAAGAGACTGGAGTGTCTAGTGGAAGTCTACAGGAGTGGATTTGGGTCCAGGCATGGCTATTTAATAGATGCGTGAGTAAATAAATTAATTTGATTGTCTGAGCCTCAGTTTCCCCTTCTGTGAAGTAGGCACAATCTTACTTTGCAGAACTCAACAGAGAAAATATAGGAAAGGTTTAATCTGTACTTCCTGCAGCTCTCAGCTAACTCATTTCTAATCCAGACTTGACAAGTGTTCATTCTGAAACCCCACAGTGCATCTGAGAGAGGACAAATATTGAATATTTGATACATGCCAATTACCCATAAATCCACGGACATTGATTTATTGTAGCTTAAACTTCACGTTTGAGCTTCTAGCAGCTAAGTAGAAGAGGCAGACTTGAAAAATGGGATTGAGTTGGGAACATAATAAGTGCTCAATAGATATACTTACTTAACAAGTGCATGAATGAGCAGAAGACATATTAATCGACTTGTGTCTTACACTTCTGTTGTGCTGGGAAGAAACACACACACCAACCCTCCTTTGATGATGTCCACTGAGCAAATGCAGCCACTGGATCTCTCGGAAGACAGACTGGACAAGCTCGACCCTCGCTGCAGCCACTTGGGTAAGTGCTCCCGCAGGAATGTCAGTTGCAGAAGTCAGCAGGAAGGGTCTCTGCCATTTAGTTTGCAGGCAAGTCAGAGGGAGGCCCCCTAAAACCTGATAGTTTGTGCCTTCTGGTGACAGCCAACCCAGATGGACAGACAAATAGCCAGGGTTCGTGGGGCCTGCCCTGTAAATATTAGCTGAAGCACTGGAGAGAAGTTCATTAGAGCTCTAACAAAAAAAGGAGAGAAAAGGCATTGTTATCTTTTTTGGGGTCTGAAAGGGTTCCAGGCAGAGCATTTCGAGGCAATAGATGGAAAGTGGCAGTGCAGCTCGTTTCCAGTATTCCCTGGCACACGCACACCCCATGTGGGGTGCCAATAAAATATTTCAAATATCTCCCTTTGCCTATCCAGACAGCATTCTAAACAGCCCCGTTCTGCTTTATTGTCAATCTGTTTCCTTTCCAGAACTGACTTTTCGCATAACCTTTGTAATGAAAATACCAGAAACATTTCTGCCTCTACCCATTTCTAAAAATGAGACACTCAGACTTTGATGGATGGGCCTTTTGCATATTCATAGCCTTCGTTTATGCCTCGCCTGGTTATGGCTCCCCTCACCCCCCACCCTTTCCCCATTTGCCATCAAGATATTTTATGTTCCAGAATTCTCCAAAAATGGGGAAATGCGTAATTGAAGTAAAAGTCAAAGTTGAAACAAATGTCTTGGTTTGTGTACTATGGACCGAGTCATATCCTGGGGTTGAATGGTGACCCCATGACTAGTCTGTGTCCTGTCTGTACCTCTAGAGACCCCACAGCTGGGCAGCACCCATTCTGAACAACATTCATTCATTCATTGATTCATTCAACAAACGTCTATGGTATGTATAAAGTGAGGGGGGCGGGGGAATTAACTGTGCCATATGGTAACAAATATTTAAAATTGCATTTTCAACCAGGCATTAAGATTCATAGTCCCAAGAGCATGGATTTAATCCTGATGCCCTTACCCACCAGCAATGTAACCTGCAATCTTTTATTCAGCCTTCTAAACCTTGGTTTCCTCATCTGTGAATATTTAACAACTGGTGAGCACAGGCATTGATGAATCAGAAAAGGTGTTGGTCCATCCCATGCACTAGAATGATTTGAACTTTCCTCCTTTTGTTGGTGTATGTAAAGTTAAGAGTATATAGTCTGTGCCATACACATAGTAGTATCTCAATTAATATTTATTAAATTGAAATGATAGGAATTAAATCTTTTAGGTGAAAGGAAATGGTTATTACTATTAAATTGTCTGAAGAGAATGATGCTATTTGATTTTTTGGTTATATATTGTGATCTTTTGATGATGTATGGTTATTAAATATTTCTGGTGATAGGTTCCTCATGTATATTGAGTTTTCTGAAACAAAGGATCATCCATATATAAAGCCTAATAGACCAGAAGCAGCTTGATATCAAGGACCATTTCTTACTTGTTGTTTTAATCCTAGAGTCTAGCTCAAGGACTGGCATACAATAGAAGCTTAATCAACATTTGTTGAATAAATAAGTGAATAATGACACACATTATGTCTAAATCCACAAAACTGAAGTGGAAAGGTTTGATACATTTAATCTTCAATGTTTGAAAGAAATTGACCTGAATGTTTTCATAAAACAGGAAGAATAAGAGAGACAGAGAGAGAGGAAATGAAAAGGGAAGAGAGAGGGAGGGAGGGAGGGAGGGAGGGAGGGAGGAAGCAAGCTGAAAAGATTCAATTAATCTCTGAATTTTCCCAAATTCATTCATGGTTGTAGATCTAGCCGGACCTTATCCAGGCAATAGTGAGTTTCCAGAGAAGGCAAATAGCTTTATTGCCTTGTAGCTTCTTTGAATCCTAACAGAATAGGTCTTTATACATAATATGTTTGAGTTTATTCATTTAAGCATACATTCAACAAATATTTATTCATTGTTGCTAAGGATAAAATACAAGATACTTGTCATCAAAGAGGGCAAAGAAGACATATGCAGTAATAATACCTAGATCATCTTTTAAAGGGGTCACACAAGCAAAAAAGCTATGGGTAAAAATTCAGAAAATGAGAACAGACACCCAGATCTAGGGTTAGTATGGAAGGACTTAGGGATATTGGGGGGCCTTTTCTCTGGGCTTATCAGAAGGTGTTATGGGCAAGCAATGGCCAGAGTGAAAATTTTTTGAGCATCTAAAATATATCAAATGTATCAAGTGTTTTACCAACATTACCAACTTTCTCTCTCTCTCTCTCTCTCTCTCTCTCTCTCTCTCTCTGACTTAATATTTTCCCCACTTTGTTTTTTTTATGTTTGTATTGATTTTAGAGAGAGAAGGGAGAAGGAGACGGAGAGAGAGAGAGAAACATAATGTGAGAGAGAAACATCGATCGGTTGCTTCCCATACACACCAGAAACCAAACCCACACCCTGGGCATGTGCCCTCACTGAGAACCCAAGCAGCAACCTTTCAGCGCACAGGAAGACACTTAACCCACTGAGCCACACTGGCCAGGCCAACATTATCCACTTTAAAAGCCGAGAGAATATCAAAGTTTCTAGAAATTAAGGCCCAAGTTCTCAGAACCAGCAAGTGTCAGAGTCAGGATTTGAACTCAGGTCGGTCCTTCTCCACCTATTCAGCATTCAATGCATTTATTGGAAGAGAGGCGTTTAAGAATAAAATTACAAAAGGGCGTATAATCCTTAATCTCTAAGAAGGCTCTTGGGCAAATAGTAGCCTTGGAAAGCTAGGGCAGTGAAAAGACCACTGTGAAGCCCCCATGTGAATGACCAGTGCAAACTGCCTGCCATGGAAGTGACGGTGGGGGAGGTACTGAACACCCTCCTACAAGATCCAAGGCAGCATGAGGTCCTAGGGGCTCTTGGGTCTCCAGAGAAGCCAGCCTTGAGCAAAGGATCTTGGGAAGGAGCATTTAGCCCAGAGAACCCGTTCTCCCATCAGAAATGTAACTGAAACCCAGTCTGTGGCTTGCCTAACGATATTTGAAAGTTCCTCTTTGCCTTGACTATCCATCCCATTTCAGTTCACTTGGAGTTCTACAGAATTCTAGTTCCATTATTTGGTTATGTGCATTCATGCAAGGCTCCTAAGGTTCTCTGTAGAAAAGACCACAGGAAAGAAATACTTTATTTGCAGGCCGATGACTTCTGCCCCTTTCATCAGGTAGAACTGGAAGCCAACCAGTCTGTGACCAGACCCTTACGCATGTCATGTTTTGTGTTTTTTTTTGCTCCCTTTGCATCCCGTCACAATCAGATGACCTTTCCGACCAGTTCATCAAGGACTGTGAGCTCACAAAGAAGCCGAGAAAGGGGAGAAACGTACAGGCCGCCCTGAACATCGAGGCAGACCAAAGGAAACCGCGGAGGAAAGACACCCCCGTGCCGCACATCCCGCCTTTCAGACCTGGTAAGGGCCAGGAGTCGGCTCGCTCCCCCGCAAAGGGGACCCGCTTGTTGCTGGATCACATCGGTCTTGCAATTTGTTTTTCTTAAAAATTTGGGAGTTTTGTAATCATTGGAACAATTCATGCATTTATCTTCGTTACAATACACACAGCTGCTGTAACAGATAAATTCCAAAATATTAGTGGGTGACACAATACAAGTTCATTTTTCTCTCACCAACAGTAGCAGTTGGGGGTGGGGGAGGCAAGCTCTGCTCCAAACAGTCCTTCAAGGACTCTGGCGGGGAGAGGTTGACACATCCTCAGCACATGGCTTCTGGGGTCACCTGCACCCGGGCCTCCATCAGCCTCCTGTACACAGGCCTCTGTCAGCCTCCTTCATATGGGTCTCCATCAGCCTCCTGCACCCGGGCCTCCATCAGCCTCCTGCACACGGGCCTCCATCAGCCTCCTGCACACGGGCCTCCATCAGCCTCCTGCACACGGGCCTCCATCAGCCTCCTGCACACGGGCCTCCATCAGCCTCCTGCACACGGGCCTCCATCAGCCTCCTGCACACGGGCCTCCATCAGCCTCCTGCACACGGGCCTCTATCAGCCTCCTGCACATTGGCCTCCATCAGCCTCCTGTACACAGGCCCCTGTCAGCCTCCTTCATATGGGTCTCCATCAGCCTCCTGCATGTGGGCTTCTGCCAGTCTCCTGCACATGGGCCTCCATCAGCCTCCTGCACCCGGGCCTCCATCAGCCTCCTGTACACAGGCCCCTGTCAGCCTCCTGTACATGAGCCTCCATTAGCCTCCTGCAGGCTGGGGAGGCAGAGTGGAGGGTGGACCTGCAGAGGCTCCCGTCACTTCCTCCTGTCACAGGCCTCACCTGAGCGCAGGGAGGTTGAGCAATGCAGCCCAGCTCTGTGCCCTGGAGCTAAGTGAATGGCTTGGGAACAGCTGAGGTATCCCTATGACAACCTCGCCTGTGACATGTGATACTTTCTTGTTCCCAAGTGTCCTGTTTTGTCTTATTCTCCTATCTCCTTCCCTCAGGCCACTTATTTAAGGTCCTCTCTAGTCACAGCCCATTCACAGGGATACAAAGCTAATAGAACACAGAGTGGTCTGGGAAGGACCAATGTTACCCCCGCCCCCAAACTTAATCTTAAAAGAAGGAAGGAAGGAAAGAAGGAAGGAGGGAGGGAGGAAAGGAAGGAGGGAAAGAGGGGAGGAAGGAAGGGAAGGAGGGAGGGAAGGAGAGGGAGGAAAAGAGGGAGGGAGGAAGGAAGGAAGGAAGGAAGGAAGGAAGGAAGGAAGGAAGGAAGGAAGGAAGGAAGGAAGGAAGGAAGGAAGGAAGGAAGGAAGGAAGGAAGGGAGGGAGGGAGGAAGGAAGGAGGAAGGAAATAACAGAAGCACAGAAATAGCTGAACTCTGAAGTAAGAAGGAATGTCACACTGGAGGTCCTTCCATGAGGACCCGGGAGCTCAGCCTGGGCAGTGACTGTGGGAAGGTTATAGAGGAGGCTGTTTTCCGAGAGTTTCTAAATGATGGAGAAAACTTTCCCATGAAGAGAGGTGAGAAGGCAGGTGGGTGGAGGTAGAGAACTAAGTCAGTCATTGAAGCGCGGAGCACGTGGCTTGCAGTACAGTGATTAACCCACCTCTCTGATGGAGGAGACAGGTGAACTTGGGCTCTGCGTCTGGCTCAGACACCTATGGGCTGCCTTAGTTCACTTTCTTCAGGTGTGTGGTGGTGGCAGTAATATTACATTCAAATCAGGCATAGGAAACCCTCCTCATAGAAAATGTTCTCTGGTGTCACCTCAATAGATACTAATTCTCAGAAAGAAAGTGCTTTTATTACAATAAGTTTGAAAGATATAGGCACAGCCATCTCCAAGTATATGTGCAAAGATGGAGGTACAGACCGGGGCTCTGAGGATGCATGTGTTTGACCTTGTTTCTCCCTGTTTCCCTCACTATGCAGGTGTATTTTCAGAACATTTAATTACAAGATACGAGGTCCAAGAGAGCCACCCAAAGGACAAAACGAGTCCAGCTCTTCAGAACACTGACCTGGAACAGAAGAAGCCAAGGAGAAAAGACACACCTGCCCTGCACATGTCCCCCTTTGCAGGTAAAAAGAGCTGGTGCAGCCCGTTCACAGGGGCGGTGGGAACAGGCCAAGGGCCTCACCATCTGGAGGTGCCACGGGCATGGCCTTTGTCCTGCCCGGCAATCTGTGTCGCTCAGAGTGCCCTGGGGAGGAGCAGCATTTCCTGCTGCCTTTCAGGTTTACCCTCACTGGCAGCTCCGCCAGGGCTGACATGGAGATGGGGAAGGTTAGAGAATTATTCATACTTCAGCAGAACTGGCCAAATGTACTGAGCCAATGAAATAGAAATGTCAGCGGGTCCTTGAGAAGAGTTGAAATATCTTCCTCCCCAGTCTTCCGAGGATCATGCACCCTACAGCTGATGGCTGATTCTCCTAAGACACCTGGATACATTGGCCAAATCCTCAAAATAAGAGAGAGAGAGAGAGAGAGAGATGCAGATATAGTGATAGCTATCTTAATATGTGTCAAATCAAGCCAAGAAATCTTGCTAACATTGTTTACAATCCCAGGCTAGAAAGCAGCCAGTCCAGTGTATACACTCTTGCCCCTGGGAATTGTATGTGCAAGTTGGGGGATAAGACATGTACATTCATGATTAGACTGTGTGTGTGTGTGTGTGTGTGTGTGTGTGTGTGTATGTGTGTGTGTTATATGGATAGCTGGGTTGGCGAGTAGAGGATGGAATTTTATAAATCAATTGAATAATGTACTAAAGTCATTATTATCTCCCTTTATAGATAGACTGAGAGAGAATATAAGTAACTTAGCCACTTTGAAGTCTTCTGTGGATGAAGTTGATGGATGGTTGACTGATTGGCTTGATAATGGGATGATTAGATGATAGCAGAATGGATCAAATTATGCTAAAAATCAAACCCTGGAAGTTATAACCAAGGTCTGTCTCACCTGTGGGCAGTGTGTCATTGTACTATGTTAGTATAACTATCCGAACTAGCTCTGTGTTAGACATGGACATGAAAATACCAAGACTTTGTCATCTCTTTTACTATTGTTCTTGTTTTGTAGCTGTTATTTAAGTTTATTTACATCAGTGAATTGTTTGATGAATTCATGAGAACTGGTCTGGAATTGCCCTAGGTTGCTGGCATTGACCTGGATGTCTAGTTAGTCCAGTCTTGTGTTTATAGCCATACTCAATAAGTACTTGGGTGTTTTTTTTTAATATATTTTCTTTGGAAATCACAATTCTGCAGTTCCAAATTCTCCATTAGGAGATTGTATTTTTAGTGAGGTTCTTCTAGAGGAAGACGTGGTAGAGGAGTCACCTTAGTATAAAGCATTGGACATGGGCTTTGGAGTCAGAAGGTCTAGGCTTGATGTCCTGTTCAGCTCCATTCTGATTTTGGGACCCTGGGCAACACAAACCATGAGAGCCTTCATCCATCTATGAAAGGGCCATAAAACCTGTCCCCTAGATTGTTAACACAGATAAATAAAGTATATATAATATATTTAGCACAGTTCCTGATTCATTGAAAGACCTCATTACCTGTTAATTCCCCTTCATTCTCTGTTCAACCTTATATTTTTGAGATAAGCCAAACCATTTCTAGAGTTGAGAATTTAACTAGCCACCATATTTTACTTACCACTCCATATCAACCTGCTAATTCAAGGGAATTCCTAAAATGTTGAGCTCTGTTTATCTGGCCATGGAAGTGGCCCACATCCTAATACCTACATCATAAGAAAGCAGCTTCTGATTGAGTAAAAAATGTTTATCCAATAGTGCAAAGTTCACAGAGCTGGACGGGGGGATGTATATCCATAGACTCTGTACACATTATGAAATTGCTTGAATCAACAAATATCTGTGTTGTATTTGCAATCATAGTGTTCTATGATTCTAGCTTTTATTCGCGTATTACTGAAGCGCTTTATTTTGGAAGAGCCTTTTAGTATCTAAAGATTTGGCAATCATCAAAATGCCAGTTAAGCTGATAAGGATGGAGCCCTCAGCAGATGTTCAGAGAGACTCACATTGGTGCTGATAGGGTGTTGAGAGGAACTCAGAGAAAACGCACTCCAGAGATACCTCCTCTCATTAGTCCTTGGCATGTGTAGACTGGACAAGGATTTGCTCTGTTCTAAATATCCTGCTAACTACCTTCATTCCTCTAAGTTAATGAGCTGATTTGATGGGTTCCAATTACCAGACAACTCCTCAGTGAGGAGTCATCTTGGGCTTCATTGCCAACCCAAGGTTTGCTCCCAACTTGGCCCACAGTCACCACCACTCCCCACCCCCCTTCCCCATCTTAGTGACTGTATGGCAGGGAGCATTGGGTTGTGATTGGTCAAACTTCAGTAACTGAGGTCTACTTAAGGAAAATAAAGTCTTTAGTTGAAATCTTTGGGAAAAGAGACCAGGGAAAGTAGAGAGTAATGAGGCTACAATCATTGAAAAGATGCCTTCTGGAAAATTAGGTCATGAGCTTTTGGATATCATAACTCAATACTAGTAGAAAGAAGACTGATATGTCCTTTCAAAGTTACCCCTCTCTGTTCTTCTGGGAATAGAGCATTCTCTCTGGTGTGGTTCACCAAGAGAGGCAGTGTCTGAGCCCTGGCTCCCATAAGTCAGAGGTACACACTTGTAATGCAAGTGAGGAGCTTTAGATGGTGCTCTGGGTGGGATCATGGCCTAAGGAAGCTTGTTGCAAAGCTGATTGACCCGTAGAGACCTTGGACTGATGGCTCTGGCCTTAAAAAAAACACAGCAAGCTCTAACAGGCAAATGACATTTTCTAAATCCTTACTGTTTTCCAAATCCTGTGCTGGATATTAAAATGCCATTCAGTGGGGGAGACAGACTTATTGTCCAGTGATTTCTACAATGTAACAGAGCTTCAGTAAGGTGTGGTTGGCACCTAAAGAATGTTGGCCTAAATCTATCTGATGGTGGCATCACTCCGTGTGGGAAATACAAATTCTTTTATGGCTGGTTTTACAGATGATAAACTGAGGCCCAGATAGGTTAAGCAACCTGCTCAAAGTTGAATGACCACCAAAGGCAAAGCTTTCTAACTATAGGACATTATTCCAGTGACACACCTCTGCTCCCCACAGGACAGCAGGAGGATCAGGACTGGGTTAAACCAGAAAGACAGTGTTTAGCAAACCTTTTTCATTCTCAACTCACCAAAGCCAACAATAGTAAGCATCAAGAATAAGAAGGTAGTGATTATATATAGACACAGACGCTACTGATGGAAACTTCAGTCTAGGGCGTGATATTCATGAAATCAAGATTTTGATGAACTACCATATATTTTCCATTATAAGATATTAAAATTAATGCTTAACTAATTAATACAGATGCTGGTTCACTTTTCACTTGCTATTGTCTCCCCTGTTCCTGTGGAAAGCCAAGCACACTCTGGGAAGGGCTGACCTTGATGGCTGACCTTGATTTCAACAGGTGCCTCCCTTCCCTGAAATCTCCAGTTGCTCATATGGCTAGGGTTCAAGGCCACCCCAAATAATCAGAAAGTTGACTGGGATCTGGAAATGTTAAGGCTCTTGCCCTTTTTGAATTAACCCCAAATTTGGCGTCAAGTAACATCAAAGAAGGTGAGATGAAAAGTTTGCAGGTTCAGCATAGCCACCTCTGTGTTCTCCAGCAAGATAGCCTTGATTCCCAATACAAACCCAAACCTCTACACAGCTGGTACAGGAGAAAAATCTCTCCCACCATGTTTCATAGGTGATTTATGCAAAAGACTTCGTTTCAGCTACACTCTTGAAATTGGTTTCTCCTCCAATAAATATCAGCTAATTGGTAAAGAGCCCATATGAACAAACTAGGGACTGAATCAAATGAGTAGCTATTAAGATCAACACACAGTCTTCATTAATTTGCTGCTGTTGAATGGATTCCAGGGTTGTCGAAAGGCCTCTTGTGGTGCACAGCTTTCCTCCCTGAAGTTTAGATCTTTATGAAATGCCTCATGAACTGAAAGGTCTCTGATTATGAGGAGCGGGGTAGGGGAATGTGAGACAGTGATGGGGAACAGAACTATCCAGCTGGGAGCACCACAGAGGGCTGACTTTGAGTCACAGTTTCCTTGGTGTTTTCATTAAAATGACCCTACCTTTACAATTCACAGGATGAGCACAACCACCCAGACCTCCTCGGATGGTCTTTACTGGGCTGATGAGTGCAGAAAATTTTGTTCAGGCTTCAGACTTTCACAGACCAGTACAATTTTAAAACAAAATACTGTAGAGCCCAATAGAGGGAGGGATAGCAACCTTGCATTTTGCCTAGTAAGGATGCTGAGAAAGAAACCATCTAACATCCCTGAAATTTCATAAAAGAAGATATTTCAATCCCCCAAAGAAGAAAAAGAACCACCTTGCAACAAAGAGCAGTGTTTTCACACTGGAGCCATATCGCTGTTTGAAAAACTGACGACTCATTCCGTATTTTCTCATTGTGCTCTGAACTGTGGTAACTTCTTATGGACTAGTACTGACATGTACAAGTGGCGTGTTCGCAGCCTAAGCTCAATATTTCCCCTGGATGTTAGTAAGATGCGTGTGAGATTGACTTCGTGAGGCTTCCCAGTTCTTTACTAAAGGAAAATAAACCATCCAACAGTGAAAGGAGAGGAAAGGCAGGCTTCTCGCTGCTCACAGGTGCAGTGTGTGAGATTGACTTCGTGAGGCTTCCCAGTTCTTTACAAAAGGAAAATAAACAATCCAACAGTGAAAGGAGAGGCAGGCTTCTCGCTGCTCACAGGTGTGGCGCAGTGCTGAGCATTGGTCCCTGCTTCTTAATTAATTGTGGAAACAACCCTTTATATAAGTACCCCTGTCCTCATTTCCATAAGAAAACATTGAGGTGTGAAGGTGTTGACTGGCCCAACACAGATTGAGTGGCAGAATGAGAATCCAAGTCATCTGGACTCCAAAAGTCATGTGCTTCCCACCGTACAAGGCCACAAGCGTAAACAGAGGAGAATGTAGAGAAGAGGGTGGTGGTTGCCTCCGACCCCCAGATTGACCGTCCCCTTGTAGCCAGCGTGGTGTCCTCATTGAGCCACAGCTCCTCTGGGGACGCCGAATAGGGCCACCCTGCTCCCTCTCTCTGCAGTGGCACCGTTAGCTGTTCAGGCACCGAGAAGTTTCGGGGTCACCGTGCCCTTGTGGACTGGGTCTGTGCTGGAAGGCTGTGTGATATTTTGATTAGAGGCACCTAATTGCAGACCTGTGCTTTGTTTTGCAGATGTGACACTGCTCCGGGAGGAGAGACCCAAAGTGATCCTGGAAGATGAGGAAAAGGATGGTGACAAGATAGCTATTTAAAGCTATTCCCCCTGAGACCACTTGTAAATAGGTTAGGATGGTTCCCTATGTGACCTAGAAAAAATAGACTTGTTGCTGCTCTCATTTTGTCACAGTCCGCATTTGCGATCTGACACCTTTCCCCAGAGGACACACCATGTCAGCTTGCGGCCACCTCTCTGCCCCTCTCTTCCCTCCTGATCTGGTTCCTATTCCCACCTCATGAGTTTTCATGTTCAGATGCAGTGGAAGGGAGCAGGCCTTCGTCCTAAATTGGGAGGTAACAGGGAAAGCTCCAGTGTTTCACTTCTGCATCTCCTGGGTCAATTCCTGCAGGAAAGGACACGGAGAACGCGAGATCCTTGTGTCTTGGCTTATGCTGCTGGGAGGGACTTGACTAACAAACACCATCCAAAGGCCAGTTCAGGTGGGGGCTCCTGGTTACCTGTTAGGGAGGTGAGAGTGTGTGTGTTAGAAACTCTCTGGTTGCTTTGGAAACATGGTCTTTTATCGCTCTCATCTTTTTTCAAAATCCAAGTGACCCTGTTGACATTCCTGAGACCCTTGTAACTGATGCCCTAGAGGTGACTGTATGAGCTAGGGGAGTCCGCCCAGCTGATCACACCATGGCTGAGAATACCAGAGGAAGAGAGTTCTGGTCTATCTGGGAAGCTTAGCAATATATCCTATTTGTCTTTATTTTTTAGAACATCCTTTAACCATGATGGCCTAAAATTTGTGAACTGTGTCACAAGTGAATCCTTACTAAGAGAAGATAAAATACCAACGCTTGTGATGACTTTACTTTGCAAAAATTAATTGGAAGGCCAGTGGAAGGCCATGCATATATGTTTAGCCTCTTCAATTATTTAGACCTCAGCATGCTTCCCTGGAGAGGAGGGAAAGGTGTGGCCTTAGCTAATGGCAGGAGTCTCACTATAACCCCCCGGCCTGCAGCCTGTGGGTGCCATGGGAAGGTTTTGCACAAACGAGGGCCTCATCCACCAGGTGAGGGGCATGGGGAAAGGCCAAGCCTATTGTTCAACGGTAGGAAGGTGGGCATTTGAACAGATCCAGCCTCCAAGTGATTGTTTGGAAGTTCTGTATCTCCCTGGCTCCAACAGTTTGGTCATCCTTCTGTCTTTCTGTCCTTCTCACAAACGTGGAGAAGATGCAGCCCCTGCTGGTAATAAAGATGCTTCTCAGCCATCTGATGTCCTGGTGCCTTTCTCCTACAAACACTCTGTACTTCCCATCGCAAAGGGGAGGTTGCGAAAGAGATTTACGGAATTGTTTGGTTTGGTTTTGACCCACAGAGGTTTAAAAATGTTTGAATGAGTCGTTGACATTTAATCGAATAAGGAGAATTGACATAAAATTCTAGATTTCTAGATTCTCTTGGAAAGACACCTCAGACCTGGCAACTCTGGGCCCGATGTGAAGCCTGACAACCATCAGCTGGCGCTGAGCACGGTGCCCTTTTAGAAGGAACTTAGGTTCTCCATCTCGTCGCCTGTCCCACCTGGCATATTCACCCACTGGCTCCAGCCTCCAGCCTTCACACTGGAGTCGGGAGCCCCTGGTGAGTCCCCACCCCCACCTGTGGTCCTGACGCTCTCTCCAGTCTGATCCCAGGGCTCCACTTCCACTGCTGATGGCCCTAATCAAAGCCCCAGGAAGAAGGGAGGAAGGTGTGGCCAGGCTGGAGGTTGAAGTGAAACAAGCCACCGTAAAGATTCTAAGAAGCCAAAGGTAAGTACAGGCCTGTGGCTAACAGGATTCTACCACCACCAGCAGCAGTTTTTACCAAGGGATTCTCACTAAGAAAACAAAGATGCCGTCTGGTCCTTTCAGACTTGCTACATAAGCACGAGCTACTCCTGCAGCCCTGCCCACAGGGTGTGCTCCAAAGAGTCCTCCCCATTTCTAACGCCCTGGGATATGGTAGGAAGTAGACTGGCTGTTGTAGAGACAAAGGCCTTGGGTTCTAGACCCAATGGTGCCACACTGAGCAAGTCCCTGGAACTCTCTGTGTGTCTATCTTGAAAATGAGGTTAATCGTCCCTACTTGGTCTTCTTCATAGTTTGAGAATTAAATGTGATCATGTCTGTAAGCTAAAAGCCCTAGCCATCTATAACATAGGACAATTTAAGATACCTTCAGAGGATGAACTGTGCCTTTTCCATATCCAAGTCCCCGTTGCCTGGGTATTAAGTGGGTTGCAATTCTGTGGACTTGACTGACAGCATCTGAACACGTACTTCAAGTAAGGGGTCCCAAGCTGAAAGGCCAGCCTTCTCTTCCTGGGAAGATGGTCTTCCTACCAGTGCCAGCCTCAAAGGGGCACAGAGTGGTGAGGGACAAGGCCAGCAGGACATCTGACCAACCCTGGACAACTTGGGGTGGTTTGGATGGAAGCCAGGTCTCCCTCACTTCCCCTGACCCACGTGGCCCTTTTCCAGGCACGTAAAGTAGAGGTTGAACAATGAAGACCACATTCAGATTCCAATAGTACTCAATTCATTGTGAGTGACTTTTCTCCAACTAAATAGTCATATTAGGGAAATGAATGCATCGCATGGTGGCCCATTCAGAAAGGAGGCCCATAGGAAAGGCACCCCAACAGAACTGGCCACCAATGGGCCAATTGTTCATTCTGAAGGCATCCACCCAACCCCAAGCTCTCTGAGACGAGGAGACACTAGTCTCTTTGAAAGCCCCACACAGGATTGGTGCCTTCAGTTAAATCCAGACTTTCTTTAAAAGCTGCTGCCTGAGATCACAGCCAACTTTGGATGCTTCGTTACCACTTGGGAAAGCCGAAGCTGGTGTTGAAGGATCAGGCTAGGACCATAAGGGACTCAAGCAGTGCTTCCTTTTAAATTCAGTGAGTGAACCCTCCCACCCCCCGCCTGGTGGGTCCAAGTTATTTTCTCAAAACAAAGACTGAGGTGGCGTGCGGTTAGGAAAATAAACCAGCCCAGCAATGATGTTTCCTGGCTGAGAATAAGGGGTTAGCTCCATGATGGCTTGTGCAGAACCTCTGCCATCTTGGGAAAATGGGGCTCCCTCACCACGTATGATTTGTAAGTGTGAAAGTGTTACTCAAACAGCTCCCCGAGGCCGTGTGTGAATGCACCTAGTGGTTGCACTGAGAATACCCCCTTCCACTCCTGGACACGGGGCTGCCTTTGAACTGGCTTTAAAGCATCGTCTCTACAGGGGTCAGAACACTATAATGACCATAAGTGATGACCCAAAAACTAGGGCAGAAAACTCTGCACAAATAAGTGCTCCAGAGACACTGGGCTCCTGACAGTCCCTGATATGTGCAGCGCTCCCTCCTCCCACAGCTTCCTGCCACCGCCAGGATGCTCCCCTATTGTCCCCCGAGACCCCCACCCTGCCCCCGATGCCCAGTGAAGTCGCTCAGCAAAATGCCACTTCCTCAGGGAGACACTTCCTCATCCTTTGACCAGGTCGGTTTCTCCATCATTTGCATGTCCTCCAACCACCACGTTCTCCTCTCCATCGTCCTCACCTCTTCCCATGGTCGTCCACGTGTGACACTGACTCACATCTATCTCCTCGCGGTTGTGTTAGGCCCAGGGACACAGGATTGTGTCTGGTTTTGCGGCCACTCATTCCCTATACCTGGCATAGAGTTTAGCATGATGTGAATGCTCAAGAAATACCAGTGAGGAGGGAGGGAGGGAGGGAGTTAGTGAACTTTGTAAGAAGCCAAGCTTGATAGCACAAGGTTGCCATGCCATCAGCCTCGCTGAGGAACCCATGGTTACTAACTCCTGCAGGTGACCGGATAGCCACTACCGAGCTGACCTTGAACCCCAGCCACAGCAAGCTGGCCGGCTTCTTGGACCCCAGGGCTTCCCAATGAGCAGCCACCTCCCCAAGAACAGTTCCCTGTTACCAAGTCCTCCTCCCCACAGGCATGGGTGGGAATCAGAAAGAGGGCAGCCAAGGTGAGGACCTCACAGACGCTGGTGCTGGGGAGTCTGGCATGAGGGTCGCCAGGGGGGATGCGCTCTGACGTCTAAGACTCCTGCTCTTCAAAGCGTTGCATCATCGCCGTATATGCTCGCCCTAGTGGTCACGCAATGTGAGGGGCAAGTGGCATCTGACACCCAAGCGTTCGAGCCACCCTTCACTGACAGGGACCATCCCACATGTGAAGGTCAACACCGCAGCCACGCGGGATCCTCCTCCTCCTCCTGCAGCCTCTCCGTCTGCAGGAAGGCTTCTTGCTCTCACAGTCCAGGGCCTGGGGCCCTTTGTTAAAGGGAATCATGCCGGGACGTCCAATGCACGGGACACATGGAGCGAAGGCTAAGTGGGAGCACCTGGGAGGCTCGTGTGTCCTCCTCCTGCCCATCTCTCCTTGTGGCCTTTAAGGAAGCCCTGGCCTAGCGGGGCCAGAAAGCCTGGAAGTGGGTACTCGGGGCACCCAGTCTTCCCGTAGCTGCCTCCACCGGAGAGCCCTCGGTTCACACGCAGCGGCCTGGTGCCGAGAGCGGAGGGTGTTCACTGCGTGGGTAATGGATGGGTTTTAATATAGGTTTGCAAGCTCTGCCTCTCCGACACCCTATGCTTTTCCGAATAGCAACAGGGTCCCTGGTGACGCCTCGCTCTGTGCAGCAGCCAAATCTGCAGCGGCAAGATTCCTCGGGAGCAAAGCAAAATCCAGCGATAAAAACAACCAGCTAGCTGGCAGCTCAACGGGGTGCAGTTCTTGGGCAAAGGCACACTCACAATTTGTAACTGTGTCGTTATAAATCCCCGCCCAGAGCTTCGCTCTAATGGCCCGGAACAGAGAGGAAGCCTGTCGCTCTTCTCCGTGTGGGTATTTGGTGCAGGAGCAGCGCACAGTTGCCAACAGTCAAATATTTCTCCTCGCTGGTGCTTGTGCGTGTTATTTCAGACTCGAGAAGTTAAAGGAGTCAGGGCCTGATTTCCTGGACCTGCCTCTCCAGTGGAAGTCCCATCAGCCACAGACACTCATTTCACAGGGAGAGGAGAGTCATTTGACCTGTCCCGAGAGGTTTCAGGACACAGCCTGCATCACTAGCCCTCAGTGGCATGTTTGTATGTGTCCAGGAGCCGGTGCCTATGAATCTCACCCCAACACGTTCTTCCCGGCCACACCAAGGACGCAGAGCTGCCAAGCTGGTTTATTCAGATGCCCCAGTCACTTCCTGACACCATCCAATCAGAGCAAAGCTCTACTTCTAAACATCCTCCCCAAATCATCTATCAAAGTCCTCTCACACCCTCTCCCCGAGACACCCCACCTGGAGGAATGTGTGTCCCTTTCCCACAGGGAGGAATACAGCCCCTTGTTCAGCTCCCCGCATGATTCTGGTGAGTGTTCCTCCAAGGCCTTGATTTGCCATCTTATAAGCGGCCAACTATGCTGTCCACATGCTTGTTAATTCTCCTTGCATCTACTTCCTAAGATGAAATCACCAAGTGAGAGCAGAGATCCGCGATGGGGGACTTTCCCAGGTATGTGTCTTAGGAAAATGAAATGCTAATGTCCCTCCTGCACACCCAGGCCTGGGCTCCTGCCCCGCCCGCACCGCGATGGGAGTCTCTGAGTGGGTGCAGGAACGTCTGCATGTGTGTGTGCCCCCCGCAAGGCAACCCACCTCTGGGATGACGTACCCTTTCCGCCAGCATCCACTCCTCCATGGGGCAGGCCCCTTCTGAGCCACACCCTGCTTCTGAAGACTCAGACTTGGAGGAGGTGTGGCGCTCCTGGGAAATAAATAATGCAAATAGTCCCCTAGGAAGAGTGATGTCCTCCCTCCCCAGCTCCCCGCATTCCCTCTCCCTCCCTCCCCCCAGCAAGATCATGGGCAAGATCAGCCCCATGGCAAGAGGCTAGCTTGGCAGAAGGCTGGCACCTCCCCTCCGAGCTCATTGAAAAGGGCCATTCCCCATTGCTTCCGCGCCCCCCGCCCCCAGCATTGTGCTTATATGAACTGCTGAGTCATTCTGATGCAGGCATTCTAGGAAGGGGGGAGGGGAGAGAGAAGGGCGGGACCCAAGGGTTCGAGAACCACTGTGAGTTCCAGACCCACTGTGGGTTCTTGGCTTCCCAAGAAAAGAATTCAAAGAGGAGCCAGCAGAGAGGTTCAAGTGAGAGTGAGTTTCTTAGTGAGGCAGTGAGAGAGCGGGCTACTCCACA